ATTGAGTCACAGACCAGCAAAAATGGTGAGTCTTCTGTTACAGAACTCATAGGGCACAAACGTTTTCTTGTCATTGTGTCGTTATTGAGGTCTGAAGGACATGGAAGAGATTGTTGTGTACTCTGGTGAAAAGACCTTCCTACAGACTTTGGTTAAAAATGTATTTTAGTTTGTTGCTTTGTTTTGCTTAGAATGACGAATATAACTATAAGACAATCCGAACATAATGCATATATAACAGACATTCTCTGTTGGCATCTGTGTCATGTAAACAAACCAAACAAGTGTAAAAAATAAAATAATGTACAAGACCTTATAGGGAACATTGACATGTCATTTACATGTAAAAATAAATCGATAATGTATTTATCATCATAAAAAATGTATGTTCAATAATATGTGACTACTATAGTGGGCGTCAATCACTATTACTCATTTTCTGCCTGTTCTGTGAGAGTCAGAGAGATGTGGAGCCCAAACATGGAATCCACAGTGACCCCAAGAGGAAGGAATGCAGAAGGCCAGGCTGGCGTATAGCATATCACTGTAGAGATGGGTCTCTCTCTCGCTCTCTCTCTCTCTCTCTCTCTCTCTCTCTCTCGCTCTCTCTCTCTCTCTCTCTCTCGCTCTCTCTCTCTCTCTCTCTCTCTCTCTCTCTCTCTCTCTCTCTCTCTCTCTCTCTCTCTCTCTCTCTCTCTCTCTCTCTCTCTCTCTCTATCTTACACAAAGGTAATAAATGCTTTATTACCAATAATATAGTTGCAAAGAAATGCAATGTATTTGTGGAATGTTTAATTGTCACATACATCATGTTGCTAAAAATTAAACTGGTGCATTTTCATCCTTTATACTGTTAGGGTGAAAATGACTTTTCTCTATGTCCTTCACTGCTAAATGAAAAGGCATCTCTAAATGGGCAACAGAATTAGCCTTTCCCATCTTTGACATTGGTTTTGAACAGAGAATTGAAGAAAGTACAATATCAAAGATCTCTGTTTTCGGCACAAGGCTGTTCCAGCCAGCATCTGTTCACTCAAAAATAATTTTGGGATCAAAAGGTGTTTTAAAGTAAAAAGGTTTATGTAAATCACATGGTATTCTAAATGATGGAGGAGCACAACAAAATGGTGTCAGGTTTCAGACAGTGCTGTTGAGAGCATCTGGATTGTACTGTACTGCTGACAATAATAAGTGAAACATAAGTATCAATAAGATCATTCATGTCAAGCCATCCACAATTTAAGCATTTATCAAAAGAAAGAGTATGTTTTTGAAAACATTTTCAAAATATGTAGTGGGTATTTTCTCAATATCTGCTTGTTTTCTCATATCTTTAGAAGATGAAGAAGCAGTTATTCAAATAGGGTACATGCACATATCATCACATCATTTTATGTGATAATTACTCAGAGCTTTCCTATAATCAGAGAGAGCAACTACTGAATGGTAATCTGTTACAAACAATGCTGCTAATGTTCACTAATTGGTCATATAATGAGGTCATTATTTGCATGTAAAGATGTAATGTATTTTTTATTCAACACTGTGAATCATTACTGTGTTTTGAACTGTATTAGTAACGCCAATTAGTTTACTGGGACGAATTTGGGAATGTAAATGTCCAGACTGGATTTCCACTACAGTCTCAACACAAGCAACCTGTTATGTTGTATTTATGTACATATGGAGCATCTGTAAAACATGGCATCATACCTCTTTGAACATTCATGAAATACCTATCAATAAGCCTACGTTAACTTTGTGGGCACTATATCTTTGTTTGATGGGATTGTAGTCGTAAACTGATTCTCTTGTGCCCCAGATTTACGGTCCTGCATGGGTGATCACTGCCCTGGCACTCAGTGCAACTTTTCACGTTGCTTACAAAACTGGATGCTCTAATTAAATGTCTCGAAATAGACTGAAGTTTGAACCTCCATATTATAATACAGTATATAATGTTTTATAACGTGTTTATCACCTATAATGTTCTCACCAAGTCTCAGAATATCTTGCCTCTAAGATATAACCTAAGGCTCACATCAAAGGAGACATGCATCTTCAGCATAATGTTGCTCATCTCTAAATGAAGTTATAGGGTTATAAAATATAACATATATTACAAATAAAAATACAAAGTAGGCTATTCGTTTTTAATTACTTTAGGCTAATTATTGATGTGAGAGTGGACGTTTCGACATAAAATCAAGACATGGTTATTGTATACTAGGCCATTAATTTTATCACTAGTGAATTAACCTGCTGATAGTTTAGCATAGCTTAGCTGACTAAACTCAACTCCATGATTTACTATGGAGTCAAGCTGCGACTAGTGTGGGCGGACCGGAGCTCCGACATCACATAAAAATAAGTCTTTATTTTTTATTTTTTTTGACTGATTTCAGGTAGCTATTCTTTGGTTGCTGAAATCAGTTGTTTTTTATAAAAACGTAATTGTATGTAATGTCTGAGCTCCAGTCTGCCCACACTAGTCAATGCTCAACTGCATCGGAAATCATGGAGTTGAGTTTAGTCGGCTAAGCATAGCCATATGATAGGACTATAGAGATATGACTAATAGGATAGGCTAACTTATTCATCATGACATTATGCATAAACTATTTAATATTCTTACAAAATATATAGGCTATCCTATGGCAATAGGAAAATGACTAAAGTCAGAAATAATAGCCTAGAAAGAAAATCACTTTATTCAAACCAATTAATGAACAATTGATTGTGCTACCTTGATGTATTCTTCATGCTTCCAGCGCAGTTATTTTACGCCTCAATTGCCTTATATTCGCAGACCTTTTCGCTGCAGTCCTCATTTTGTACACGGTGACAAAAGTGTTTATTTCAAGAATATGAAGGTAATGCACCTGTTCTTCCTCTCTACTGGTCGAAACATGACTACAGTACCCACGAAACCCTGCGCTCAGCCTCTCGCTCACTCTGTGCTCTGCGCCAGTCTGTTCAGGGAACCAGTTCGCTTGGCCTTTTTTCTGCATTCTCACTGTTGCCTGGTGTCAACCTACACCCAGTAGACATATCCCTCCCTCTTCAACGACTGCTTTCAATTTGCCTTCACTTTTCTTATCACGAGCACTATTGGCGTTTGCGCTGCCAGTCAGACGCCTCTACCGTAGCTGGAGTTTAGTAGCAACAGCTCGGAAACATCTGGCTGCCGCAGCCCTTCTCTCTCTGCTCGCTCGGTCCGTCTTTCCTGCCACTGCAGGTTGTTATGGAAATTTGTTGAAAGTCAATCTAGTTATTTTTCAACCCCAAGAGGATTTGACGAAGGACGCAGGAAGACATTGGAGCTTGTTGTCTGTAAGTGCCTTTAATACCACAGTCCGAAAGGGTGATGAAAGGAGGTTAAAGAATGAAAGGGGAAAAAGTAATTATCCTTTCTAGCGACTGTTGTGTTCACAGAATAGTTGCTACATTAGCTCCTTCGTAGTGCCCGTCGGCATTGCATCGGGGCCTGCTACAGAACTGCAATAGCCTACTACTGATCGAACGTTTACTTTTTTGTTAGCCACCGTGGCTAGCTAGCTTGATTGCGTTAGTGTGTGCGCGAGATATTGGACTTGTAGTCTTGCCAATGTTGTGTTGTGTTGCTCGCGACAGTCTTACGTTCTGGAAGCAGCAGCGCAGAGAAATGTTGGTAGACCCCTGGAGGAGTAGTTTACAGAGGTTGACAGATACATTGATCAGTTGCTTGTGTCGGGAGCAACGTGTCATGTCCAGTCTCAAGACGTTTAGAGAAGTAATGGCTAATTTATGACAGTTGTTTCCTGGCTTTTGATCTTTTTGTAGACTAGGCTATTCCAAAGAAAGGCAATGGCAATGATACAATGTATATAAATGGATAGAGTGTTGTGTGTGTTGTAATATTAATGTTGCGACATCGTTACCCAAACACACTATAGGGCTATTTAATGAGTCATTCTATCCTTTTCTGTAAAGGAATAAGCTATGTTCTGTGAAAAGCCTCGTATCCTGAATCGGTAATATAGGCTAATTATGTCCTATTTGCATGCAGTCGTTTAAACTTTCTGAATTGAAGGTAATTTAACGATATCTATGAATAACATAAGATATCTGGCCATAAGTTTGTTCTAGTAGCCTATATATTCGTGTGTTTCTCCTCTTTCTAAAGTATAGGCTACACTCATTAGCATAAATTGCTATTCATTCCTAAAGGTTTTGATCATGTAAATATAACTAAACTTGTGAATTGTATTACCCTTATGTCAACAGGAACATGTTGAATGTCTTGAATGTAAAGTTGACATCTATATAGCCTTCACAACAACGTTAATATATAATATAGTCAATTGTTATTGTTTTATATGAATAATAATGCTGCATATAGATGCATTGTTGTGGTCCACTCACATGGCAGAATAATTAATTTATTGTGGAATAAAAATACCCCCTGAAAAATTCACACGAAAGAGTGGAATACTTTCACAAAAGAAAGCAGAAGCTGTAGTCAGTTTTAGGCGGCCCATTAAGGAATAGTGTAGCTTTTGTTTAGAATATCACTCATGAGGTCAATACGATTGTTCCCATTGTTCTTTTATTAATTTTTCTGTCAGTTGTCCGAAGGGAAATGAATGACGGTAATGGCAAGGGCAGTGAACCATAAAGAAGTCGAAAACAATATCAGCTGCGTGGATCTGTCAGTTGCAAATGGGCTGTGCTGGGCTTTGTTTATGGTTACTGGAAGGAGGGCAGGCGGCAAAAGAAAAAAAACTTGAGGGTATTTAAATTCACCGCGCAGGAAACTAGGTTAGAAAAAAGTGTCGGTTTTCACACAGACTTATTTTCTTAAATTCTCCTTTACTTTAGAGTGAAGCGGTAGGGGGAAGTTGTCTAGTTTCCCACCCAAGCACCGCAATACATGTACCCCCTTTTTTTAGAGAGAGGAGAAAACAAGAAACAAAGTTGTATAAAGGAGAGGCTGGTGGCAGAGTGTAGAGGAGTAGCATATGGCTGTAAAAGGAGCACAGCTGGAGGTAGCATTTCCATCTGAACATGATGTCAGAGCAGCTGACAGGCTGCCATCCCCCAGTCTTTTATTCCAACGCACAGACTGGGAGTTAGTGTGTGTGTGGATCTGTGTGCAGGAGGAGGTATCTCATTCCCCTACAACATCTCCTCCACTTTGCATCTGTCTTTTACAGTTAGCATTTTTTTTCTCTCCTACCCCCTCATTGATTCTGCAAAAGAGCTGCAGCCAGTCCAGCTTTTCTACTACAGTGGACTTAATCAAGTTGATGCATACTGCAGGTACTGTGGGGAAGGGTCCGGGGCACTGGGATGGTTTTGTTTTGTATGAGGAGCTCTGGCTTTTCCAGGGCTTTTCCCAGGGTCAGGCTACTTTTAGTCAGAGCTCTATGGAAAAGGAAGTGAAGGATTTAGTCTACGTGTTGTGTATGTGTACAGTAGTTGTTTACTGTAGCTAAGCAGGGGACTTTTGTAGTCAGGAAGCGCTTTCCTAGTTTTTCTCTGGTTTGTAGTGAGCAAGTTGTGCTTGGAGTTGAATGTTTGTTGAAATTATCATCATTTTGGGGGGAAATTATTGTCATTTGTTTAAACCAAAATAAATTTCTTAATTTGTGTTTAATGATTAAACGCTATTTAACGTGTATTTATTGTCTGGTAAACACACAGTATTAATTGATCAAATCTGGTCTAACAGATAACTGCTACTACCAAAATTGGAACTTTATACTCAAAGTTATTCTGGTTAAAACATCCACAAACTATGTTTAAAAAAAAGTAATCTATAGTGCCATTTTTACTAAGAATAATTAAACATTTTAAATCTAACTGGCTGTGAAATTACTTGAAAGCCTGATGTCCTCTTTCCCTGGCTTGTGTTCATTTCTTCTGTTGGTGGTGACTAATTTAGAACTTGCAGATTTGAGCTGCCTGAATTGGCTAGACAGCTGTAATCGCACTCCTCCTAGTCTTAATCTCTTTATCTGGGCAGCAGCTGCCATATGGCCCCAGTCAGCTGGATCAGATGTTTGTAAGCCTCCTTCTCCGTCCCTCTCTGTCCTGACAGACCCCTAATTTGATCGCTGCTACCTTGTGAGTTGTCCAACTATCTTTATTTTTAGCCATCTTAAGGATTAGGATGGCTGTAGACTACAGGGCACTTAAAGTGATTGTATTGTAAATCTTCAGTGCCGTTCTCTTTGGAGAGGGTGTGCAGTTTCTAGAAAGATTTGAGGAGGGGGAGCATGGGGTGGTGGGGGTTGGCTGGGGGGTTGGACATCCTTGTCCCTGTAAGCCTCTCATTAAGGAAAATCTTAACTCCGCTCCAGTGAGGGGGATCGCACACTTGTTCACTCACATTCAAAAGGGTTTATTGAACTGCTTAATGTTCAGGCTCATGCATTATTTCAGGCAAAAAATATATACTTGGTTAACAGGTGTGATATTAATTTTTTCTCATTCAAATGTATGAATCTGTTATTATTCAAGTTTATTTAGAAAAACTTTAGAGAAATATTCATGAAATGTATTTCTGGAATAGGACTCTCTTTTTAGAACATATAAATAGCAGTGGGAGTTGACAAAAAAATCCCTTTTGTAATTACCAACAAGGCAACTTGTTTTTCAAACCCTTCAATTCCGCGTGTACAGTCGTTATTCTCAGTATACTCTGGAATAGGTAGCTTGTGTATGTAAGCACTGTACCTGAAAGCCTGTTACCTAAAGAAGCTGGTCAAGCCAATGTGGGTTATTAAAAATAACCTCACTAGGAGCTGGGACAGCAAAGCGTGGAAGCAGTTCAGTTAGCAGGCGTGCGGGAAGACATCTGTGTGACCAGGAGGCGCTTAGCTGCTGAAGCTGCTCTGTGATCATGTGGAACGGCAATAGGTCGCAGTCTAGAGCAACACCTCTCCCAAGTATCGTCTGGAAACATTTAGGTTTATGGAGCAATTACACTTTACCTGTTTTTTATTTGATGTTTGTGTGTCTGAAAGTTTGTTGGTGGTAAAACATGTTAGCAGAATTGTAAAAGGAAAATGTCTCTTTGGTGATGTTTTAGTGACAGTTTTGTAGATATAATTTAGTTTAAAATGTCAAGGATTTCTTGTGTAGGCTAATTTCTGTTCCCTTTTGAGTGAGTGAGAAAGAGGGTGAGTGAGTGGATGAGTGGATCCAGACAGGTTGTCTACAAGCTGAAACAAAACAGTATCTCTTCTAAAATAATGTGCCTCTAACATCTGCTGTCTGTTCTAGGTTATGAAGACAGCATGGAGTTCCCAGACCACAGCAGACATTTGCTAGAGTGTCTGAGCGAGCAGAGGCATCAGGGTTTCCTTTGTGATTCCACTGTTCTGGTCGGCGATGCCCAGTTCCGAGCCCATCGAGCAGTGCTGGCTTCATGCAGCATGTACTTCCATCTCTTTTACAAGGACCAGCTCGACAAAAGGGACATTGTTCATCTGAACAGCGACATTGTTACAGCCCCGGCGTTTGCTCTCCTGCTGGAGTTCATGTACGAGGGTAAGCTCCAGTTCAAAGCCCTGCCCGTGGAGGATGTTCTGGCTGCTGCCAGCTTCCTCCACATGTACGACATTGTCAAGGTCTGCAAGAAGAAGCTGAAGCACAAAGCCACTGCGGAGGCAGACAGCACCAAGAAAGAGGAGGATGCTTCCAGCTGCTCTGACAAAGTAGAGAGCTTCTCCGAGGGCAGCACGGGCCACCCAGCCACAGCTGACCTATTGCCCAGTGACGATGAGGACCTGGAGGCCAAACAGGACCCCAGCAGCCTGTGGATGAGGCTACCCTCCGACCAGGCGTGCACCCCGGCCACTGCCACCAGCCCAGGGGAGGCTGACGCCCATGGCAGTCCCCCCAAGCTGCAGTCCCCTGCCGGCAGCCCCAGCAGCTCTATAGGCTCCCTGTCCCGGAGGTCCGTGGGCTCCCGTGGCTCCCGCAGAGTGTCGTCGGATGCAGACTGTGTCCTGGACTTGTCTGTGAAGTCCAGCCTGACGGGGCCCGGCGAGGCCTTGTCCAATAACCCCTACTTCTGTGGTGTGGTGACGCCTGATAGCCTGAAGGGCACCCTGGTCCAGGTGAAGCAAGAGAAGAACACTGGCTCAGACGATGAGGACCTGGTGAGCGGCGACTATGAGATGGACCACAGCGGGCCAAAAGCCACCCCTCCCAGAACCAACGGAGGTGTGAACCACCACGTGATCAGCAGCCATGCTCACAGACGCCTGGAGGCCCACCTCTCAGGCCTGCGTGACGCCTCCCTGGCCAGCGAGCTGGAGCATGGCGACAAGGTCAGCGATGATGACATGCTGGGGGGAGAGAGTGAGCGGGCCCAGGTCGAGGCGGCCAGCATCGACAGCGCCCTGCTGCCCTACGTGTCCAACATGCTGAACGCCCCCCACACTCAGATCTTCATGTGCCCGCTGTGCAACAAGGTGTTTCCCAGCCCGCACATCCTCCAGATTCACCTCAGCACACACTTTCGTGAGCAGGAAGGCGTGCGCGCCAAGCCCGCCAGCGACGTCAACGTGCCCACCTGCTCCATCTGCGGCAAGACATTCTCCTGCATGTACACCCTGAAGCGCCACGAGCGGACTCACTCTGGAGAGAAGCCGTACACGTGCACCACGTGCGGTAAGAGCTTCCAGTACTCCCACAACCTGAGCCGGCACGCCGTGGTGCACACCCGAGAGAAGCCGCATGCCTGCAAGTGGTGCGAGCGGCGCTTCACCCAGTCCGGGGACCTGTACCGCCACATCCGCAAGTTCCACTGCGAACTGGTCAACTCGCTCTCAGTCAAGAGCGAAGGCCTCAACCTCCCCACCCTCCACAGGGACTGGACCATAGAGGATAGTTCTCAAGAACTGTGGAAGTGAACCCTGCTGAAATAATCAGGACTTCTTTGTTTTTAAGCTAAATGAGAGAGGTAAGGGGAGTTGGAGCATGGGTTGTGGGTAGGAGAGGGATCTGAATCAGTCATGTTTCTTGTACGTACATTGCAAAATCTTGTTAAATGGCACTTTAATAGGACATGAACATGTTACTACTGTTTTCCATTGTTCTGTTCTATTCTATTTGTTCAGATTTAGTTCAATATAAAACATGGCCACTGGTATCAGTAGCCAGTGTTTTGTCATCTTCTTGTGTATAGATACACTCCTTAATCTAAGGCACACCTTCAACGACAACCATATGAAGTGTTCAGGTAACACACGGACGTTAAAGACTATTAGAATCCACTAAACGGGTACTGTAATTATCAATTTATACCAGTACACATGTGTGTGTGTATTAATATGTGTGTATATAGTGCACTATATTTTTATTATCACATTTCATTGGTGTGTGTGCGTTTGCGTGTGTGTTTAAGGAAACTGTGCAAAGAGGTCTGCTCTAACAAGCTTCTGCTCCTTAAGCTCTTGACTGATGAAAGACATATGGCACTCATGCAATGTACAGCTTCCTTTTTCACATGAATTGAAGTATTTTCAAAAATTCTTTATGAATGATTATTATACAATTTCTTAAATCTATCTGCAGCCTTTAAACATCCCTTTAATTTAAGTTGGCTGTATCCTATAGGTTTCCATAGTGATTATGGATGTATTTTTGGAAAATGGGATCTGTTATTGCATGAAGTCCAACCTGTATATTTGAAATGTGAATTACTGTATAACTGTACACTGTAATTGAGCAAATATAGAACAGACTATGTGAATATCCAAGGGTGCAGTCGGTTAAAAAATCCGGAATATTACAGTTATGGAAAATGAATGAATATGATTTATCTTACCTTTTCTTGTTGTTGTAGTTTTTTTTGTGTGTTTTTTTTTTGGGGGGGGGAATGTATTCTAAATTAACTTATTTCATTCTTAAGTAGTTTATTTATTTTCTCTGCTCCTTTTGAGAGTCCGTCGGGACTCCTTTGAAATGTTATTCTGGGCTGTGAAGATTCTGTGTCAATGCACTGGTCTGGGGTTTGGGTTTGTGTAGCGGTATGTGAGGTGAAGCTTGTCGTCAGACAGACAGAGGTGGCAGTGTGGGCTGAATGCCAGTAGTGACCTAACTAACTAATCTACTGAAGATCTCCACTACTGTGTTTGCCTCTCGCCCACGCAGCACTTCATCACAGTCTACTCTGCTGCATGCTGGTCAGGGAGTTAAGGTTCCCAACTACTGTAGCTATCCAGTTAACGTTCTGCTTTCTCATCGACATTAAGTAAGCGTTTTGTGTAATTTATTAATATTTTCATTTGGCACTTGTTTCTAACTGTGCGGCCAATGAGAATGTGTCGCACTGATCTATGAGAGAGAGAGATGCTCACCTGCTCATGCCTGAGTACTCCCAAAGGTTATTTGTGTTTCAATAGTAAAGCCTGAGTACTCCTGAAGGTTCTTTGTTTCAATGGTAAAGCCTGAGTACTCCTGAAGGTTCTTTGTTTCAATGGTAAAGCCTGAGTACTTCTGAAGGTTATTTCTGTTTTAAATGGTAAAGCCTGAGTACTCCTGAAGGTTCTTTCTGTTTCAATGGTAAAGCCTGAGTACTCCTGAAGGTAAAAGCTGAAGAATCGGAGAGCAGCACTACACTCCTAATTTGCATGTCTATGTGTATCTGTTTGAGTCCTCCTATGTACTGTACGTACGCACGCCTGTTTTGTACTGAAAGCATAATCCTTACTTTTGAAGGGGGAGAATGGGCATGCTTGATTGCACCATTAAAGCTTATTTAACAGATTTATGCTGAAAAGATGCCTTTATGAAAATTTGTTATAAATTATAGATTCAAGAAATCATGGATACTATTACATTCAAGAGGAGATGTATTTAATCATGAAATTATTGAATTAACCTTAACATTATAATTTCTCATTTTTTATACAATTTGAACTGTTCTTTATTTCCATATTTTATTTAGGATTTTTCAAATGTTCACATTTTTATGAATGTGAACATTCTGAGAAAAATGCTGCACTCAAAAAACATTTGTGCACAAAAATCATGGAATCAATCAAACAAAAGCAAAACTTGAACTCTACCCAAACTCAGTTGTTAGTATGTAGGGTTATGAATGTCTGCACTTGTGGGGAGATACTGGCATGCCTGGCCTGGGGGTTTGGCTTGCTCTTCAGTGGACGTGGTAGCATCAGCTGGTGACATAGGTGCTCCTTGCCAACCATACACACTTGTCATGGCATTTTGCACAGTGGTAATTGATCTCTTTGCATCCATGGAAAATATATCATATGTGGGTTAGCGCTCTGTTTGAAGACTTATTTACAATTATTGCTGACTTTTCTTATTGTACTTGACCGCCTTAAAACTACTGTAAACAGCTTGTTTTTTTTTCACGTTATCACTGGAACACTGAAAGTGTGTGTAACTGGACTGTTTATTGACCATTTTTAAATAGAAAGGAAGCTGTGAAATGACCCAATAAGCATCTCCATTTACATCAATTCAACTTTGGTTACTTGAAAACAGTAAAGGTCCAATGGGGGAAAAACTTTCAAATGTAGGTGAAGAGAGGGGAAATAGAAAGAAATCGGTTAAAAAGGACAATCACTGTATGAAAAAGAAGCAGATTTTGATTCAAATATATTTGCTTCCCTGTGAGATTTTGTTTCTTTTTCTGGATTTAGACATTTAGCTTTGACAATCATAGTCTGTTTTTATTTTTTCTCAAGGGGAGTAAATTCTAAGGCTGTTTAGTTTTGTACTTTTTTGGTGTGCTGTTGTTGACATTTTTAAATTGTGTGCAAACTGCAATAAATTATAAGAACCTTGAAACTCAACTCCAATGTAAATGTGTGTGTTTAATTTGTCACATAAAGAGTGAATAACATGGGTACCATTCAGTCAGCACAAAACTACCGCACATTTAGAAGATTAGTTAAATGCTTATTATACATATTAATACAGCTTAGAGCCACAGCCATATTTTAACAGAAGGAAGATGTCAATCTACTGAATTATTGTAAAATGAAGTATTTTTTCTTCATTTAGTTTCATAAGTGTTATAACAGACTGGACTTCTCAGAGGCCTGTATGTATTAGATACAAGCTCAATCAAATGTTACAATTACCAGTGTTGGGGAAGCTACTCTGAAAATATAGTTTACCAAGCTACCACTTACTTTACACTGGAGGAAGTTAAGCTACACTAAAGCTACCCTTAAAAATATATAAACTCAGCAAAAAAAGAAATGTCCCTTATTCAGGACCCTGTCTTCCAAAGATAATTAGTAAAAATCTAAATAACTTTACAGATCGTCATTGTAAATGGTTTAAACACTGTTTCCCATGCTTGTTCAATTAACCATAAACAATCAATGAACATGCACCTGTGGAACGGTCGTTAAGACGGTTACATTTGGTAGGCAATTAAGGTCACAGTTATGAAAACTTTGGACACTAAATAGGCCTTTCTACTGACTCTGAAAAACACCAAAAGAAAGATGCCCAGGGTCCCTGCTCATCTGCGTGAACGTGCCTTAGGCATGCTGCAAGGGGGCATGAGGACTGCAGATGTGGCCAGGGCAATAAATTGCAATGTCTGTACTGTAAGACGCCTAAGACAGCGCTACAGGGAGACAGGACGGACAGCTGATCGTCCTCGCAGTGGCAGACCACGTGTAACAACACCTGCACAAGATCGGTACATCCGAACTTCACACCTGCGGGACAGGTACAGGATGGCAACAACAACTGCCCGAGTTACACCAGGAACGCACAATCCCTCCATCAGTGCTCAGACTGTCCGCAATAGGCTGAGAGAGGCTGGACTGAGGGATTGTAGGCCTGTTGTAAGGCAGGTCCTCACCAGACATCACCGGCAACAACGTCACCTATGGGCACAAACCCACCATCGCTGGACCAGACAGGACTGGCAAAAAGTGCTCTTCACTGACGAGTCGCGGTTTTGTCTCACCAGGGGTGATGGTCGGATTCGCGTTTATCGTCGAAGGAATGAGCGTTACACCGAGACCTGTACTCTGGAGCGGGATCGATTTGGAGGTGGAGGGTCCGTCATAGTCTGGGGCGGTGTGTCACAGCATCATCGGACTGAGCTTGTTGTCACGCTGTGCGCCTCCCTCATGTGGTACCCTTCCTGCAGGCTCATCCTGACATTACCCTCCAGCATTACAATGCCACCAGCCATACTGCTCGTTCTGTGCGTGATTTCCTGCAAGACAGAAATGTCAGTGTTCTGCCATGGCCAGCGAAGAGCCCGGATCTCAATCCCATTGAGCACGTCTGGGACCTGTTGGATCGGAGGATGAGGGCTAGGGCCATTCCCCCCAGAAATGTCCGGGAACTTGCAGGTGCCTTGGTGGAAGAGTGGGGTAACATCTCCCCCCCTTTGTTCAGGGACACATTCCATTTCTGTTAGTGACATGTCTGTGGAACTTGTTCAGTTTGTCTCTCAGTTGTTGAATCTTGTTATGTTCATACAAATATTTAAACATGTTAAGTTTGCTGAAAATAAACACAATTGACAGTGAGAGGACGTTTCTTTTTTTGCTGTGTTTAGTTTACTTAACTAAAGTTACTTAGAAAAAGTAGCCGGACGACACCGGCCTCGGGGACGACCACAGGGACGCGGTGCGGGTCGATCAGGCTGCTGACGGTAAAAATCCCTGGTCAGCGAAGCGTCCAGGATGTCCACCGCAGGAACCCAGCACCTCTTCTCTGGGCCGTACCCCTCCCAGTCGATGAGGTACTGGAGACGCCCCGCCAGCCTCAGCGAGGGGACCAGGCACCACTGGCCTGAGGAGAGACACATGAAAAGTCGGGTTAATGTGGTACATCAGCAGGGAGTTGCAAACGGTACATTACCTCATTAACCCTCCTCAGGACTTTAAACGGCCCAACAAAC